TTTTTCCATTAGACAATTACGTAACAATAACATGGTAATAGTAATCCTAGAACTAATAAAAAAAAGCCGATTGTGCAAACAATATACCATAAATGTCCTTCAATGTGTCACCCCTAGCACTAGCACCTTGGTAATTCATTCTGAGCATTTTAAACAGTTTGCCCTAGGGAAATTAGACCTAATTTACTCCAATAATGGACACAGACATCCACACTGCATACTACATGTGTAACGATGGCTCCTTTGGGACATTCATGTTTAGCTATAGTGCCATATGTACAATATGTGCAGTCTGTATGTGGATTTTGCTCAAAACTTAAGATTACTGATATCCTGATTCAAACTTCTTCATCTGTGTTTAATGCTTTTCATTTTTTGCTTCTGGCTTAAAAAAATGACAAATAAATATTACAACTGTCTTACTTGTTATGCCCCTGTAGGTTTATGATTTGGTGTGTCTACTAATTTTTCCTCGGTGGGTGCATCACAATCTGCAGTGCTAAAGGTGGGTCAAAAATGTTGCTAAATAGCATCAAAACTATTCCATTTGGTGCGCACTCCTCTGACGCAGGGGGTGTATAGATTCCACAAAAGGAGGACCCACTGTTGGACAATAACACCTTTCCCGGGGGTCATTGGGTGCATCATACAATTGATAGACCTCACTATATGTAAAATTCAGTTAGTGTAACCATCAAGTGTTTCATGACTTTTTCTAAAAAAAAATAAAAGTTGAGGAATTTTTGCTCAGGGTAAGATGAGCAATAAAAAATAGGCCGAGTCTCATGATGTTAATCTACAGCAATATTGTAATATTCATGGCAGCGAATGTTTTTCCGGCTTGGATGTTTTATGATTTCCGGTTCCTTGCAGTCGACAGGACCATGCTGTCTTGAAATAATAAACACAGACTAGGGGGACCTTTATTGTATGGTTTAATAGGGCAGAGAGCAACACCAATCCATCACAGACCAAGGTCGGCACATGGCAATAAATAGTTCAAAATGATGACATGTTTGAAAGAGCAAAAAATGTGGATGGAAGAGATTACGTGTAAGTACATTTAAATTTCGGCTTTGGGGAAAAAAATTGGCAAAAATCACTCTGCCTCAAACAAGATGTGAAGAGCACTCTGACTCTAGGTTTCATTCATACATAAATGAAACAGACATTTTTACAAAACACAAATTAATTTTATTACACTGTAGAATCATTGATTTGACCATAACAGTTCCGTTCACTTTCGTGATGTGGTTAACAGCAAATGTTCAAATCACCGACGACTGGTGCATTACTTCGCAGTGAAGGCTCACTTCTTTTCTCTCTCCCCCCCCCAAAAAAAATATATTAAAATGGATGATTCAAAAATCATGACTGGGCTCATGAGGACAACAGACGATGGCAAGGATGCTGAGAAGTCGTCTTATGAACAAAACGTTTCTCCCCTCGCGTTTTCCGGACCAAAAATCATTAGACTCACGTCACAAAACAGCTTACATAAAAAAGCTTTTTATACTCATTCCCCTTCATGGCATTGCCATTAGCCTTTCACTGATCAGGCCCGGGAAATCAAATGTAGACGGTTGAGTAGGGGACACAATGCCAGTGCATCGGCCCTTAAGTCTTTTGCCTCGTTGCCCCTTGAAACATTGCCCATGACAATTCAATTAACTTCTCAGGGTGCGATTTCAACGAGGGGAAAATTTACCTTGCCCTTCTGCAGTACGTGCGAGGCATTTTCAAAAGCATTTTCACACCTGGTTATGCGTAACTACCGTAGCAATGATACTCATTGAATTCATTCCAATTTTAAAATGAACACAAAAAGTACAATATACAAAAATGTTTATCACGCAAAGGTGTTTACAAACTTTAATTAATCTATTGTACTCATACATGTACACAAGTTTTTCATCAAACTGGTTCAGTACTAGAGTGTGCAAATTTACCTCAAAAACAGTGTCAAAATTGATTTGATAATTCAATCATACGTGTTGGACCAACAATGTGTGCAATTGTATGGGGAAAAATACTTTGTATTCTGGCTGGGTTTGCCTGGTATTAAAACTGCAACCACACTGACTAAAGTCATGAAAATAAAGGACGCATTTTCAATCACCTAAAATAATACATCCCCTAGTACAAATGTGTTCTTTTTTTTTAAAGAAATGATGTACTGGTACGTGCAGGTCAAATTGTATACATACAAAACATGAATGCAGGTCAATGGGAAAAAACTAGATGGCTTTTAAATGTGAATGCTGGTATTTACTGCATGTACGTGTTAATGTTCTGAAGTGGAAAGGATTTTCATTAAGAACTACAGACTGCATAGAGGATTTGGGCAACAAACGTTCAAAGAATCACAGTTAGAATGGCAAAGATTAAGTACATGTACATATTTTCAGCACATTTCAACACAACTGGGTCACTTGGAACCAGTGCAAGAAATAAATCACATTTTGTGGGATAGAGGCAGGCACAAAGTTTACAAGTTCCTGAACAATCCCAGCACCTTTCAACCTTTAGCTTTATGGAGAGCACGTGGCGAGAGCCTACAAATTGTACTTGTGTGGTTATGAAAATTCAAAGTGCAAAGTTTTCTGACAAAAAGGTTGCACTGTGCACAGGATATTACCCATTTCGGAGTTTGGATGTCTGTGTGGTTTTTGTGGTATTAATTCTGGTCAGCCACAACAAGGATACATGTGCACTTAAGTAGTTTCACTCTCAGGATAAAAAAGTCATAAAAACCTGTCGAAAAACAATCATAGTCAACTTTGGGAAAAACCCTCAACAATTAAGGCATCGTGTGTGGTTGTTTAAACAAAAGGATTTATTGCAATTGATGTAATTACAATGCTTTTTTTTAAAACATAAACTTCAAGGATATTCGTGTTATTATCAAAACTGCTGTTGGCACTCATTTGCTTGCAAAGTTCTACGTCTTGTCCCAACAAATAATTTGTTAATTCCTACCATAAACAGGTGTCTGTAGTCCACAGGTATTAATTTACATGTACAATATAATCAACATTCAACAACGATTTAAGTCAAACTTAAATATTCACTTTTAAAGCAACAGATGGTTGATATCAAATAATCTTCTTACACTCTAAACGTGTACGTATCCATCCGTAATTCTGTGTCATTAATTAGCAGAAAGTTTCCACGGAAACTCAAGTGTTCAGTCTGAGGGAAGGAAAAACAATTTAATTTCTAACCTTCTTGTGAATTTTGACCCCCTTCCCCCCCCCCAAAAAAATAAAAAATAAAAATAAAAACAAAATTTGAATTTTACACATTGAGCAAAAGTTTCTAATCCAAACTACAAAATCCTAAAAAATGATTGAAAAACCTTTCAGATTAAAAAAAGGGGGAAATGGCGGGGGACAAAATTCCTGCTGACGTCATGTTTTATCTACCCTTCCAGCTGCGGGAACCGTGTGCGTAAATGTACAGTTTCCATCAGATAACCCCGTTTTGGTGAATGGCCCTTCATCGGCCATTGAGTCCTGATAACGATCACTCGCTGGTCAGATTCCAACGATAAAGAGGAAAAGACTCCATAAATTGAACAAAAAGTTAATCGAAAAAAAACAACAGCCGAGGAAAGGGAAAAAACAACACGACGCCTGGATGACTGGACTCTGCATTTAGCAGATTACATCATTTGTTGCAGGTGCAATGCCTTTTTATAGTGATTTTATTTGCTTGTTGACTTTTTTCCACGAGTGTTAAGACTTTGTGAATACAACTTGATTTGGACTCTTTCTTTAATGTAAATGTAGCAGCGGCCTGAACAGTTCTGAAAGTGGGGGAGTGTGGGACCAACCGATCGGTGGTTCAAAATTTGTTGATAGGAGGGGCGCCCTTTTCTGTTTTTCTTTTCTTTCCGGTTCTCGATGATCGAAAGCGATCACGATTATTATTTCGATCCTCTTACTATTATTTCTGCAGCGAAAATACTAGAGAACTTATTTTTAATAATCATTACCCAGATAAAGGGCCTAGAGTACTTGTAGGCCTACACTATTTTGGGACCTGCCAAGAGTGGAGGGGGGGGGCATGCCTCCAGTGGAAAAAGTGGGGGGACCCTACCCGTTTCGCCCCCGTTGATATACGGTCCTTAGCTTAGTGATAAATCAAATGTACGCATAATGCATGTAGAATACATGTAAATCCAGATGAAACAGTGACAACTTTTTGTTAACTGTTCCGAAGACAAACTGCGCCATTTGATGGTATAGGATTAGGTACACATTATATAATCAGTAAAATATGACTCAAAAACAAAAGCTATAATTATTCCCTTAAGCCAGGCGACAGAGCACATCAGAGTTTTTCTGGTTTGCCACAAATTTCCTGGTGAATTAATGTGTCAGTTGACATTTAGAACGTAAATATCCTCCCGGGCGTGAAATTAAAGGCTTAGGGTCACATCAATTGATGCATTTCAACATTCAAATTACAATCATAAGGGAATTTAAAAAAACAAAGTGCACTTGTTTTAATCATTTTCAGGTTTCCACATTTCAATGTTGGGGATTTTGTGAGCTTAGATGCTTGGATCTTTCACTCAGAAAGTATGAACCTCCCACGTGGCATTTTACATTGTATTTAATTTACGCTTTTGCTGCAATTCATATACATGTATTTCCAGCTCTATGGCAAGATTGATCATGGAGTAATTAAGGAACAAGGAGATAATGCATTCCAAAGTAATAAAAACAAGTTCCAAAAAAAAGACAGTGTTACAGCGAGTGTTTTTGTGTTGGAATCACATCATCAAACTCATCAACTAAACTTTCCAAGCAACGACGTACACGTGTTGTATTTCCACCAATCAGTGTAAGCTAAAACTCTAGCCACTGTCAGTTCCAGCCGGTACGAACCGGTTGGAACTAGATAGAAGCTTCCCAGAATTCAGTGCTTCCATGCAAAGCTCTTGTTAAACATCCCAAGTGACAGTCTATCCCCGTCTTACAGATGTAACGTACCTTCAGAATCTTTCTCCAGGCAGTCTTTGTCCAGGCAACAGTTACTGTCCAGTTTGTCGTGGCATTCGGCACGGTATCCGCAACCGTAATCGTCACAGTAACGGCCGGGTGAGGATTCATCTACATCGGGAACAGTCTGCAAGTGGAAACAGAGAGAGGATTATTGTCCGTTTACCAATAGGATCCAACAGCTACATATATCTATGTAGAACAGATTCTGTTAACGGTTCAGATCAATAAGAGAAATTTTAGCTGTTTGGTTCTTGTTGGATTCAGCATGGTCAGGGTTTATAAAAAAAACCACAGAGATCTTTAAAAATCCTAAAATATAACCTCCTGAATTTGAATCTCAGAGGGTTAGGTCAGGCAGGACTACTGAGTTTTGTGTAGTCACTACCCTGGCCTGATAAATCAATTTGTCCACAAGCAAAACTATTGACAAGACTAATTCACTGCATCAAATCTTTGAACCCACGACTGATGCTTTTTCCATGTTTAAAATGACTCTACCATACCAGTAATTATAGAAATTCCAGAGCTGTTCCAGGACTTTCCCATGGTGCGTGTACAAGAATTGTAGCTAAATTGTTCATGTTACTTGTGTTTATGTGTTGTATTCTGTACCATTTTCTTTTTTTATTTTTCTATTTTGATTTTTTGTTGTTGATTTTTGTTTGTACATTTTTGGTTTTTTTCTCTGGCCTCTCATTTTTAAAGGCAGAACTTTCTCCCCCTTTCTCACCTGTGGGTCCATATAGGGGACTTCTTGGTCATAAAACCCGCCACAATCCCCCATGGTGGCTGGTATTCAGAGTCCCAACAAGGGGCCTGCTTACTGTTGCCTGTCAAACAAGAAAAACAATCAATCAAACCAAACTTAGGACTTGGGTTAGGAATTCACCTAAATTAATGAATACATGTATTCAACTAAATTAATAAAAACATCATTTTTTTTCCAAAGAGAAGGATTAGTACAGTTTCTTGCAATCCCTCTGACTATATGTAGTCCAAAAGATATTTTTGTGTGCCGTGAGAACCAAAAAATATTAGGGGGAAAAAACGATGCCACTATTTTTTTCTAAACCCAAGTCCCTCAATTTTTTTGTGTACTGTAGGCCTACATGTTAACTACTTATTTTTTTGTTTATACTGTAACAAAAAGAAATGAACTTCAAAAGTGGAAAGAAGGTAGTTTCACGAAATAACACTGACTATAGTTGGCTGATTGAAAAGGGTTTGCATCAAAATCAAAGCAACATTCGGAAAGAATGTTACACCGGACGCCACTTTGTTCTTCATCATGTCAATGAAGGTCAGTCGTTGCAAAAATGATAAGACATTAATCTGGGACTAAGAAACATTTCCAATTTTGTTAGGAAATAGGCCTACTTATAAAATTTTCTTGACTCTCCATAGACTTTGTACACAACCGCGGAAGAGGCGTCAGGTTGCAACATTCTTTCCCAACATTCAATTGACAATTGAATGAACAATCTTTGGAAAGTTTCCCATATCTGGCCATCACTAATTTTTCCCTTCAGTGACCTATAAAGTATAAGGCATCAGAAAGTGATAATATGTCCTAAAAAGTCAAATTTAGTGGGGAAAATTTTGAAGTATTTACTAAGAAAACACTTCGAAATTTTCAGTCCAGTCTCATACTCATCTTTCCAATTTTTTTGCTTAGACGCAATTTACGTTACATTTATGTTTGACACTCAGATTAACACACACCTACATGCATGTAGGATTCGATATATGATTCAGTTTCATAAATTTGGCACTTTTGAGTTTGACAATATGCCAATATTTCAGTAAATTCAGAGATGGCAATTTTAACTATTTTCAAATAAGCCTATTGCAATTGAAATTCATTGAATTTCCCAGCACATATTACATTTACAATTACCTGGTAATGTCACCCCCCCCCCCCCACCACCCCATCCCGCATGACCACCCCAAGCAGTCCATGATGAAGGCCTAGTCCACATGGAAATTACATCATGACATTATTTCGTCCAATTTCCCCTATTCTGGGGCATACAGTGATAATCAATTCAGTATACGCCTCCCTAGTTGATAAATGATAGGGAAGGACAAATTTACAAAATGTTGCAACCGGCAGCATCTTAGTTCTTACGACCCGCATTTATGGTCGATGATTCAAAATGTTCCTGTAGCTACAGTGTCGATCATACCATAGCTAGCTCTATGCTCATTCCTAGCGGATCGTCGAGCAAAGCATGGGATTTCACAACGGAGGGAAGCCCTATTTTACCCCAAATTTACAAACCTCAATCAACCGTGCCAAGACACGGCTTGTCCGTCTGTAGGTTCCACTTATCTCCAAAGCCCGTTCTGCGTTGCCTGGGTGAAGAAACAACTCCGACAATCGTGGGAAAAATCACGGTTTTCTGTAGTTATTTTCTCGCGCTGAGCCGTCCATGTTGAATCAACTGCATGCATGCACGGTGCGTGCATGTGAAATATACCTGCGGTATTACGCGCGTGCGCAGCTTGAATGCACTTGTCGATCGAGTAGTTCAGCTGATGAGCTGTTGAGACGGTCCCTACACTCGTACAATCGTTTAGCCAATCTTTAAAATAAAACTGTTACCAGTATTTGAAAATATTTTTTCTTCCAATGAAAGAAGGACCTTATAAAACTGTCCTAGACTGAATTGCTTGCATCAACATGCAGTCATTTTCAGGGGAAACTGCATGCGTTGATTTGTAATGTAAATACCACCCCTCATGCCCTGTTGCAATGGTATCGCCCGATCCAAATTTCCATATATGCACGCATTGTGTTTTAATGAATGGGGATCGATACGATTGACGTTTTGCAAACAACCAATCAATAGTGGTTCGAATTGGATTGTCTTCTTTTATTGCACACATGTATTATTAGAATCCATTTTCCGTATTTGAAGTGATTGGTCGGTCTGTGCTTTTATAATAATCTGTGTCATTTTTGCCAGCACAGGGGAGCGCCTCGCTCAGCTCAGAGGTTTTACTACGGATTTAAAAAGTAAGCTAAGCCGCAATAAATGCGCCCTCAGGGCGCGGATCGGATGTCAGAAGTATAACCATGGAAGAAGAAATAACAGAGGAATAACATATAACACCATGGTATATATTCTTCTGGAATTTTCTATAGAGGGCTCATGAATCTATAAAAAAAAAATCCATCGCCACCACACCCCGCCATGTCTTAGTTCTACTTCACTTGCTGTCATAATTAACACCGATTAAATTGATTTTTATTTTGGTGTCTGATTATGCTGTTCGATCAATCAACACCAGTGATATTTTTCGCGCGTTCCTTGCAGTGACGTCACGAACGTGTAAAACGCATGTTTTTGTCTAACGACTCCCACAGATGTTGTGTGATAACTGTCACCTCCAAAGCAGGACCGTTTGCTTTTTGTGCATTTCTTCGTTTGAAGCAACAAAATTGCTCAAAATTCTAAGAAGGGTGCATGACAACTAACTTCAGCTCAGTGGATAGGCCCAACATTTCGAGAAAACAGAGAAGACTTTGCACATTGTTCGGGTCTCGTAACTGGATTCCATTGCTAACGCACATAGAAATCTGCACCCGGAACACAGTTTTTAAACAACTTTGATCGTTTTCTTCCGAGTGATATAAGGAGGAATAATTTCACATTAGTTCCAGTCGTATCTTGTAGTGAGGTTCAGCAAGAATTTTCTTGGTAAATCGATAGGTACGCAAATGTTCCTATACAGGGTCAGTAAAAAAAACCAAATGTCGTGACCATTGTTTTAGTGAAGTTCTGCATGTAGCACTTTCAAAATCTAGGATATGAAAGCCCAATTCATAAGCTTTCTTTTAATACAAGAATCATTCAAATTACTCATGTACTTTTTCAGTTACGGAATTTTAAACACAACCACCGTTTTAAAGTTCTGTCCACGGATCACAGCAAAACGAAAACAAATCACATGGGGATGTGTGTGAATTGTTTTTGTTGTGCTCAAATAACGCGCACCTTTTTTGTGATCCGTGGACAGAATTTTAAAAAGGTGGTTGTGTTTAAAATTCCGTGAAAACGTGAAAAGTTCAAGAGTGACTTGAATGATTCTTATACTAAAAGAAAGCTAATGAATTGGGCTTTCATATCCTAGATTTTGAAAGTGCTACATGCTGCAGAACTTCATTAAAGCAATGGCCCAGACATTTTTTTTTACTCACCCTGTACATGCCTTCCCATCTCATCATTGGGCAGTTCGAGTTCGAATTTTTAACCGAGCGATGTTCGGAAACCAAAGTAATGTGCATGCGATTTCTAAGGGGGGGGGGGGTCTTGTGTTGGAGTGTATTTGTTTTCGTTGTTCGTTGTTGTTTTGCACCTGAAAATCATTCCTCAATATTTTCAAGGGATATAAGTGATAATAAACGAGCCATGCGCCACTCTGCATTCATGGAAATTCATACACGCTGTCAAACCATATAGTAACCTAACATTTACATGCTGGTAGCCGTAGCCGTCTGTAATTAACTGTCCATGTTGAAAGTTCGTTTGTATGTTAACAAAGCGGCTCGCAGTATAATTAACTCCGACGTCTAATTAATTGAAGGGCAAGGACGATGTGACACTGCAAATTACGGGACTGTAATCTTTACGAGCTGTATCGGTATTTCTTTGATCATTAGGCCTGATCGGGCTTTACCGAAATCCAAATTTTGTTTAGAAGTACAAGCTCAAAAGGCCAGTTCATTACTGAAACCCCCTTTTAACGAAACACAAATACAGGGGGCTGTCGCTTTCGTTTCCAAAAAACAAAATAATAAACATAATTTAAAAACAGGGGGAAAAGAACTTTAACACTTTGAATATGGCCCCCAAAAAGGATTTTTTTCTGACAAACATGGACTTGTAAAATAAAAAAAGTAGAGTGGAAAAAATAATGGTTTACAATATCCGTAATTCGTACTTAAACAGAAATTCTTGGATTTCAGTGCGCAACGATGGGCAACCCCCTCCCTGATCTTTCGCTAAATTTCTGGAGATCACCGTTATGAGTTTCAAATCTTAAAGTTCTTGACAGAAGTCTGTTGTGGTAATAGAACCAATATCTAACTGGGTGAATTTGAGGTTCATCGACACAGGGGTTGAGTTTTATGAAAGGGGCAAAAACGTGTGACATCTCTAAACAATGCACCCAGAGGTGCGAACACAACAAACGTAACATAAAATGAGCAAATTGCTTCCCCCAAAAGTGTTTATTTTCAATAAAGAAGCCGTTCCAACACCATATCTCCCTCACAATAACTTCTACTCCACAGCGTCTACGATTAGGCATCTTAAATTGGATTGTTTTAAAGCAACAAGATATGCACTGTATTAAGTTTTGGATGAAATACTGTACGGGTTAATAACATTGTATTATTGATGCTAATAATACGACCAATAAAAAAAAATCTGTTGATTCAGTGTATATACTGTTCCTTTAAAACATTCACATTCATCTATATTCTAAGCTGCTTTAATTCCAATTAAACCAATTTTGTTAAAAAATAAAGTGAATTTTAAACAAGATTTTTTTTGTCTACCATACTTAAACCAATAAGTTACTTGAAAATAATTTCAGCGTAAACAGCTACCCTTCATAAACCCCAGCAAAATCTTTTTTTTTTTATAAACACCATAGTTCTGTAATTTACATTATTCCTGTACATGTTAATTCTGTTTAATAAAGATTTTCTATTTTGACCAAAGTAAAAGATCAGGACAATTTGAATATTTACACATCTGGCGTTTACCCTCAAGAGAATAATCAAACAGACAAATGAGGAAATAATATCATAATCACAAATCCTACACACTACACATCCCAAACTTAAATTCAGCTATTCAACGTCATAAAAAAAAAGAAATCAAGATTTTGACGTGTGGTGATGCTCATAACATTTTTCTCTCCCAACAATACTCAGATGCCTGATGTGCCCCGAAATGAAGACCGGTTTTCAGGAAATGGACAAAAATCAAAACTTTGTAACCATAATCTCTGAGCTATTCAAAGCACTCGACACTTTCTAGTCTACATTCTAGATTTTTCTTTTTAAAATCGCATTTTACAACATTCATCATAGAGTAAACTGATCTAAGCTTTTACATTTCGTATCACCTGATTATGGATCTGTTAAAAATGTTAAAATATTTTTTTTTAATCTTCAAATAATAACCGTAAAGGCCATTTTTTTTCTTCTCAAGGTGCATATGAAAAGATACACAAATCATGTCTCACAAATCATAAAACAGCAAGCACTGGTTAAACAATCTAAACAATGTTGGGTAATAAAAAATCTCAGTACAATAACCCTGTGAAATTTATGATCTAAAGTAAAAAAAGTGTTACTGATCAAGACTTGCTATGGCTCGTCTAACACCAAAACAAAAGATTCAAAATAACAGCCGATAAGATATGCAACAGGGTTTCAAAAAAGCCAAACTTTACAAAATATGGACTCCGTGAACGTAAACTCTCAGATGAAAATGTAAATTATAACTGTCAGTGTGAAGCATTTATATTTTTATCCTGTGATTAAAATAAGTGAAGTCTGACTTTTAAACTTTTCTTTTTTTGTTGGGTTTTGCCCTTAGTCAGTGTTGTCCGAGGGATCACGAGAAAAATTCACGAGCTTACTCGGTGGGACTCGAACCCACGACCTCCTGCTTACTAATGTACTTTTAAACTGGTCCCCACCTCGCCTTTTGAAGTCAAAACCAAAAGGAAACCGGAATTAGCCTATTAGCTCCCATAAAATGCTGCTACAAAACACACAGTGATTTGGCTATGTCAACGTGCCCTAAGCACACAGCGCCCTCTTTGTGTCTGTCCATGGAGTCCATTGGTATATTCTATATTGCTGAATGGGAAATCAACTGAACATAATGCATGCATCTACATGCTACTCACTGAAATATTAAAACATAATACACCTGTATTTCAGTAAACTACACAGACTACATACAGCTGCCCGAAGTGACATGTATATGAGGCCAAATAAAATAAAATGCTCCGGAAAACACAATCACTAAGACAACTTCTTACCTCCATTTTGAAACAAGTGCTTGAAAAACTTCTATAAACGATAACCATGTTAAATATTAAAACCACAATGAACTTGTCAGTATATGTAGAGGATATGTTAATAGTAAAGTTTATATTCAAATACAAGTTAATTAATATGGCAAAATGCATAGTTCTACACTGTACTGTCATATAAATTTCTTTTGAACACGTAGTTAGTGTCTAAAGTCATCAGGGACTACCATTACATATACATGTAAATGCATGATTATGCAAGATAAAATTTGAATGAAAGACAATATGCTTAAAGTAAGGAATTAATGAATCTCTTAGATTAGAAAACACCCCTCATTCTATCAAATTAATGCCATGCTTTTATACATCAAGTAAAAATCAATTGAAAAATGGCAGAGACTCTCGTAGTGGGCAGTAAATCGAAGCTCCTCCCTTGAGCTGCACAATTGAACTTTGGGTCTGGTGTCCTCACGAAATTTTGTCACCATTCCAACTGAAAATCAGTGGATTTTTAACAATAATGCAATCCAAAGAAATGCAAAGTATATTTTTTTTCAAATAACTAATGAATATATTAGCACTTGATACCTGCTCAGATTCTGTGTACGAGTTTACTCTAAAGTAAAATACTAAAAACGAAAACCTTTAATATGATATGCATTTAAGTGGGTAACACTTTTGCTAACATCTTTTTTGAGCACTTTATAAATCACATTAAAGATTAATACATTCAATGTTTGTATGCATTGATGTGCCTTTAATAACTTTATTATTCAGTGGTGGGAGTAAATGCTTAATAATGTAAACCAAACTAAAAAAAACCCAAAATCCTCACAATTTTGCTGACATGAAAAAAATTGGACAAAAATTCTCTAAAGCAGGTAACAAAAATGTATGAATGTTGGCAAAGCAGAAGACTAAACCTATACACAAGAATACATTAAATTTAAAATGAGAAAAATAATTAGCATTTAGACTGATCCTTCGCATGAGATACACTTACACCAATCAACTGATTCACTTAAACTATTCTTGGTTTCCACCCAGACCATTATTAAATATAACCACAGAAAGATTTACTGGAACTGCAACGTGGTGAGTGTTGACAATTCACCAAATTTTGGGTTCTATATTGGCAAGGTTCTCAAGTATACACCAGTAAATAAGTTAGCAACCAGGGGTCAATTTCATGGCGCTGCTTAACAGTTAGCAGGAAAGATGCGTGAACGGTCACACCCACATGGCGTTTACTGCTGTTATGTGTCACAAAGTAAGTAGCTTTGTCCTCTGAGGTAAGCGTACCTTTTGCTGCGCTTACTGCCAGAACGGTCTCCATGAAATAGACAGAGGCTCTAGCAGTGCTATGAAATTGAGCCCAGGTACTAAACAAAATTGGTCAAGTTAAAGACTGATGGAAAGGAATGGCCACTGGTTCAGCGTGTTGGCTGCCAGATAGGTAGAGGGAAAATAACGACTACCGGTGGAGAAGTAACTGATCTGTGTAAACCCTCTTTGGCCAACATTTTGACCAGACAAAAGTACAGGCCACCACAAAAATATCAGCACCAACCACGCTGTAGTCATTGCGAAGTTACAGATTGGCGGTAACAATTCTTGGCCACTCTTGGCTGAAAGTGCTGGCCACCTAATCTGTGGCCATCGTTTTTAACTGGACCAAACTGCTGGCCAGCAAATCAATCAATGACCATTAAATGAGACTGCGTGATGTACTCTGCACACTTGTTGCCGGCCAAATGAAGTGAAGGGACTAAGTAACTGGCGACAGACACTGGTGGACATTGTGCAAGGTCACCCAACAGATTTGGAAAGTATCGTTAAGGCCATCAAATAGAAGAGAAGTTTAGTGGCCAGGTGGACAGTAAAGGCTGGTACGACTTAAATTAAAAAGAGCTCGACTTGGCAACTGACGGATTTTTGACCGGAGAATTTTCTGTCAAACCTCAAATGTCTAAGCACTTTGGAAAGTGTCCAGCCACTCAACATATAAAAAACAATTTAAACAATGTAGTTTGTCAGCCTCCATGTAAATTCAAATTTAGTCATAAGGCAAACACAAACTCACCCATCAACCACCAAAATTCCTAACCCCCAGAAACCATTACAAAATAAAATCTTCATACACCAAGTTTATTTACACCCGGAGAAACACATTAGTAAAAAATAGACTTATTCAATTATAATATAGTTAATTTTAATTTTTTTTTTTACAGAAATTTCTTAAACAGAGAAAAGGGATGCACAGAGCTAACTGAAAATGAAATATTTGGATTTGTGGTCGAGTTAGAAAACAGACAAATGAGGCAAAGACGGCACAGTATACATGCACTTCAATTTATAGCTGGTAAATAACATTGTTCGGATTCGACCAAGTGGTGGCAGCAAACATATGGTACGGGGAGAATGTGGCAAAGTTAGAACATTTCTAGGACAATAACAGAAGTCATCATGCACTACACGACCACTCGTGAGGCAGAGTTTAAATATAGCTTTGCCAGTTGACAGTTATATTGCAAAAGAGGAGAAACAATTTCGAGTTATCAAAAGTTCTCATCACAAGGTTATATGAGATCATGGATTTGCGACATTGGGAATGTTTTTAATTTTTTTGCTGAAAATATTCCTTAAAACAAGGTGAAGCATTTTGGGCATTTGGAGCAGAGACGGTGCCATCTCCACCGCCACGATTTATTTTTCCTGCCAACTATCGAAAGCAAACTTTGCCACTAAAAGGAACTGTGGTCCAGCCACTCATCTTGCAAATGTTGTGGATTTTTTTTGCATTTACCCGAACAAGGTGTTTTTTCCCCTATGAACGGAAAAGCCTTACAAATGTCTAACCTAAAACAAAGAGAAGAAAATACTGATTCCAGAAAATAGCAAAATACTCCTTTGTAATGGAAGTAATAAACCGTAAAACAAATTAAAAATGTTACTTAAGATACGCCCCTACTTTCTTGTACTTGCTTTCAAGGTACACTTTTCATTTCATACTTCTCTTGTGATGTACAATTTACAATAAGGCTACGTAAATTGAAATTCCTTTTAGAACATAAAAAAAGTCATTTGAAAAAAAAAGAGAAAAAAAACAGTCTGCCTTCCCAGGTGTCAATTTGATTAAGCTGATATCGGCAGGAAGTACTTGTTAAGCAAGTATCTTTCCTTAGCAGACAAGTGGTAAACCGGCCAAAGGCAATACGTAAATTATACACAGTATTGACCGGGTACCAGTGGAGTGTGCTAAGAAAAAAATATACGCTTAGCAGTTTGGCTTGAAAAATGGCAGCTCAATAAAATGGACTCCTCTGAGTTATTTATCAAATCAAATTGTTAACCCTTTTAAAAATGTTTTTGTCATCTTTCACCCAGATTGCTCAAAAACATATAAACAACTGTTCTCATTGTTGGCTGTCAAGATTTGTTTGTTTCATTGTCTGACCGTATAACGTAGTTGATGTCTTGCCTTGCTCTGGCTGATATATATACAGTATGCACGTAGGATGTCACTGTCGTCAACTACACGTTCCGTTACATCGGTCATTTGTCGACGATGTCGGCGTCGCTAGATGCGTATGTCGCTGGGATCCTCTTCCGATATGCTGGGTCGAGAGAAGAGGTTCCGCAGACCAGGAAAGCTCTTCTTGGGTGGGGGGCCAATCAGCATAGGGGTACTGTTCTTGTGCGTGATCGCAATCTGTGATTGGATGAAGATCAAGAAAAAAAAACCCAGAGGGATTGAGCTACGAGGAAAATGTTGAAAACAAATTCAAGCCATGTTCGCATTGGACTTTTTGTGTGTAAAACTTATGACTGTCAACTGAACCAAATTAAGTCCAGTGCGGACAGCTGGTATACTTCCCAAATTGTGGATCATTTATAATAAGTTTTATGCTCGGCAGCAGTAAGTTTTACAGGGCCAACTGGATTGCAGAAGATTTACGCTGTTAGTTTTACGTCACTGAGAAGTCCCGTACGGACAACTGCTATGTAAAACTTACTTTGTGATCACATGACTTCCATATGGGTCACCAATTAAGACTTCTTTCATTCACACACACTGTTTACTTCACTGTTCATTAACGCAAGGTATTCTTTTTTATTACAAATTCAACAAGACAACGTACAGTGCAAGGTGGTTGTAGCCAGGGTTCGCCGTCTATCTGCATGGGGAATCGTTTCAGGATACGGATGGTCACCGTGGAGCACTGAGCTAGCCGGCGACCGGAGGAACGGATACCAGCCTTGACCTGGCCAGCATGGAGGGCACTCTCAAGACCAATGACCTCAATTAGTTTGTCACCGATGGCTGAAAGAAAGAAGACCAAAACACAAAAACAGACAATTATTACCAAATGATATTTATTTCCATTCCTTTAGTTATTTTTGAACTGCCCACAAAACTCGGACAAAGTTGACAAATGTTGTTTTTTTAGGCTTTGGCATTTTTCAAATTCCTGAGTGTTTCAGCTTCAAAATGATATATGATTTTTATAAGTACCATGACCCTATCACCCCTAGGAGAAGGATTAAGTGATAAAAGCCTGATAACCCAATTATGAGAAAATGCGTATTGAATGCTTTTTGTAAATTTCTATACATATATTTTAGGGTGTTGTAAATGTATAGCTACTAATTCAGAAAAATCCCAAAACCCCAAAATGGTCAGATACACCAGAAATGACTTCACATGTCCTTTGAAGAAAAAAAAACTTCAGCAACTTTGTCCTGGTTTCATTTCTCAAATCTAGATTTTGTCTCCAGCTCTGGCTTAATTGTTTTTGTCTCTGGCCCACTGAGACAAGGGATAAAATAATAGTTTAAGAATAGGACCATGCTCAGCAAGCAGCTAAGCAACACAGGTGTAACTGATGGTGTGTTTGCATCAGGGAGATGCACATTGAATATCGGCTTTTGCCCTTCACGTTCAGGCAGCGCTATCGTATAGGTTTCCCTGTGACATCAATTAATGGGATAGGCCTGGCACAGTGCGTAGACCGAAAGCCATTCTGATTTGTTTGCCATTTCTAAGTGTTTGACTTTATAGACTGGTATGGTTCAGCTTTACCAGCCTGCCAGGTCCTGTATGTTCCACATTATGCGTACAGTCTTGTTTGTCCATAAAGGGGCCCTCACGTGTACATGATGGATGTTTACCAAATTTACGGTAGAATGAACATGGGATTTATGACGGCAGGTTGTTCAGATTGTTACTTGCCACAAACGAGACAAAATTCAAAACCCACGTAAGCAGTACCACATGATTTAATTAGCGTCACTGAAAGTAACAAACACAGTGGTCCCAACCAGGCCAGCCCATCAGCAAAAACCACATCAACAACATTAAGTCCTTTCAACCAAACCCACCTCAATTCACAACGACTCTGGCCAGCAAGGGTGCATCCCATCTTATTGTGGGTCCCAGTTAAACCAATTGAGTGTAAGGATTCTCTAATTTTCCACATGAGGTGGTCTATTTGTGAGGCCTACTCCCCAATCAATAGAATTCCTAAGCCAGTGTTTATACAAAGTAAAGACAACATGTTCCACAATCTGGAGGGCAATAACCTTTGGTTCTGGGTTTGATTTGTGAAAATAGTTCCTCCATGGCTGTACCAGTACTTAGGATGCGACTTATACTGTCTTAAAATTATTACTGTCTTTAAGAGAATGGGAGGGGCAGGCTCATAGGGTTATTAAAGGGAATATACAACATTTGCAAACATCGAAAAATAAAACTACCAAGTTTTTACGAAATACCTTACTAGGATGTTGGTAAATGACAGTCTCAAGCATCTTGTAAAATTATGGCACCTGGTGTGAAGTCATTTTCAAGAAAATGGTATTTTTGTATACATTTCCAACAGTGGTCGGCCGACCAGCGTTGGGAAAACCTAACTATTTTTCAACTACTGCTCTAATTAACCATTATATCAGTCCAAATTTTGTTTGCTATTGGTTACATGTTTCATGAACGGGTGCAGGCCAGCTAGACTGGTTCCCGTGCCTTAAAATTTTCCATCATCTATAAATTGATCCATTTTATCTTTTGTGGAGTCAGGGAACCAGACTACTTGAACGTTTTTGTTTTTCCAACCTTTTCGAACACAAAACTTCAAAAATGTCAGTGTAACAATATTTGATCTATATATACTAACCCCTCAAATAGTTCATATCTCAAAATTACATCAAAAACCAATGATGTACATTCCCTTTAATACATCTAACAGAAAAAGAGAAAAAATGTTAACTTTGATAACTTTTTATTAGAGTATTTTGAAATCAACTCTGTTGATGGAACTCTGCACATAAACTGGTGGGAGAGCATTACTTCTGTAAAAACAATTATGACAAAGTCGAAACTTGATCCTACGACTATTGTCTAGTCCGTCCATTAAGAAAACAAGAACACTTGGGCGATCCTATATGAGCTGACAATGTTACATTTCCATTGTTTTGCTCCAGAAGCAACAATCTTAATGCACAGGGTTATCTATAATCAACTTCTCATGGCATTAACCCAGGAATACACACACAGGCAAGAAATTCTTCACACCCTAGTTACCCAACAGGGTTTATGTGTATCAAATGTGAGGATGCTGCGTAGCACTATAGAGCATAGCAAACATGTGAAGAACAGTTGCAAATCATTATGTACATATGTACTGAATGCAGACAAACAAGATGGGTTGAATGTTCTGCAGGTCATTGACCCTTATGCTCAGATTATAGCCACAGCATGTCTTAGGCGATTCAAGGAGGGTACTTCGCTTGATGCAATCTGGAGGGGTGTGTAACTACAGGATGTATTTTCTTTAATGTCACTCACAGTGCACTGAGTTCATAGAATCAATATCCGTTTACCTGCCATTCACTTCAAATCCAGGCCTATTGTGCATAACAATAAGGGGGGGGGGGTGAATGACAACTGCTGGGGTCGAACACTCCTTTTTTCATGAGGTGAGGTATTTTTTTTTAGTCCTACATCTGGTCAAAAAGTGGGAGGGGGAATGTATTGATTCCTATTTATGACAGGGTTCGGTGGGTCATTTGACCATCCCCAACCTAGACTTTTATACGCAACAAAACTTTATTGTGGATGTTAAAGAACTTGTAAGTAAAAACAAGGAAAATACACCACACTGGTACGTTTAACAGTCCTGAATCCTCCAATTTTAATACGATTTCGCACACCCCCAGGGAGTTAGGGTTAAGTGTTTTTAAAAAATAACAATAAAAACTACCATTATGGACATACAGCTTGCATAGGCCAGCATTCCCGAAAGGTGCTATCATGAACAGTGCTTCCCTGTTTAAAATGGTCTCCTCCCCCCCCCCACCCCAAAAGTATGTTTTCGAATTTGCAATGTCTAGGATTTTTTCAGCATCATTTCACGAGTTGATGCCACAGATTTATGCCAAAGTCCCTGGGATTGACAGACCTGGTAGACTTACACTGCTTGGCAAAGGTGAGGTCCATGTCATGGGTGGCACCCACGGCCGAGTGACCTTCACTCTCTCGTCTCTTCTGCGCCTTCTTGGCGAGGCGTTTGCGTTTCTTGCCGCTGGGCGTGTCGCCCCAGAGGTTGGATCCACCGTAGATGCTGGGGATGTTGAGGACGGCGATGCCTTCCAGGGAGGGGCCATTGGCAAGGTCTAGGGAGACACCGTCACACTGGAGGGGGGGGGGTGAAAAGGGACAGTAGGTTAGCAAAACAGATTGAAATGCCATGTTATGGGGTTCGGGGGAAAATGAAACTTATTCATAATCGTGCCCTCTGCAGGTACCCAAAACATCCATGGCAAAAAATTGGTTCCATATTTCATTGTTGTGTATAAAATCACAGTTACCAGACCGTTATGCAAATGGGTTCCAGTAAAACCTGAAAAGCAAACCACCGCTCTGCAGTAAATGCACAAATTCTTTACTGTTTAGACACTTTAGCATTACTGCCTCTGTATGCACATGTTCAGATGCACTCCTTTCATAGTTATGAAGATATTTTTTTATGCGCCAGAGTCTTAACCAAACATGATTCATTAATTTTCTTTGAGTAGGCCCACTTGTAAGATTATCTGTTAATCCTTCCTATAATTGAATTCCTCCAAGTTTGCAATGTTCTAAAGGAGGATAGCTTGAAAAGTTGGATTCGCCTTGCGTATTAAAGCATTCTTACCATGATATCAATGTCCTCGTGCAGGTTCTTGCAAGTCGCTGCGAATGTTTCCGAGGTGCCGAACTCAAAGTACCAGAGTTTATTCTTCATGCGGCTGTTGAAGCGCTCGGGGTGTTTCTCCCTCATAGTGTGGAACCGGTGGGCAATAGAGGCATCCTAAGGGTTGGAATCCATGAGAAATATAGCATTAGGTGTATAACCTCCGTATACCCCCGGTACAAGTACCCCCTCAATGGTTACAACGGGAGAGTTAGGGGAGACCACTGGGAGGGACAATCAAACACATTGCCAAATAAAAATATTAATCAGTTTGAAATATGTCTTCTCTTTCCAACAAAAAGTAATTTTCAAAATTTATCAAAAGTGAAGACTGTTTGTGAAACAACAGTGTAAATCTCTGAGAAGTTTCACTTTAAACAATGGACACTGTTCAGTTTTTTTAAATTCATTTTTGGAATGGTTAAAAATGTTTTGAATTTTTTTGGAAAAGAATCATTGAAAAATAGTTTTCAGGAGGATGCGTTTGGATATGAGTTGCATAATGGCAAGTGGGGTCACATTGTGGACTGAAGTTTGGTGGGGTGGAAATGTTGCGGTGGGAGGGGGGAATTAGGTGGAAAAGGGGGGAGGGGGGTAGGCTGGAAATTCCAATCCAAAATTCCAGCAACTCACAACTCCTATTGAGAAGTAATTATTGATGATATTGTACGGCACAGGGTCTCCTTGTTCGTCGGTGCTGGTCGTGCTGAACTCAATGTGCCAGCGATCTAGGAAGGTGTTCTCAGCACTCTGCATATCATGTAGGGTTCTAGTAAGGCTGCCTCCATCATAGCCTGGGAAGGTAGACAATCAAAATATCATGGGTTATCTCAAATCCTACCAACAAGCCAACAACAGAATAGAAAGCTGCTCTCGACATGCTCTTTGCGAAATTTGATTTTTTTTTCGTAACGGACTGTCAGTTCATAGGTTTTATTTAACAAGAAGCTATGTGTTTTAATTCTGGGTTACGTTATACTTCCAAAGCCCAGTTCATATGCGAATGCAAATGTCGACCCAATTTGACGCAACCAAACCTTACTTCGATAGTCGCCAGAGTTGAGATGTGTTCAACTTTTGCAAATTGTCTGTGGCATCATGAGTTTGCGTTCGCATTAGCTTTCGCTTTTGCATGAACCAGCCTCAATGCAAAAAAGAAAAGGGAACCACTAGAATCATGCTTACCTCCTCCCCAGTTGAGACATCTGGCAAGGTCGTTGCCTGTTCCCAGGGGAAGAATGGCCACGGGTGGACGCGGATCAAAGCCCAACTTATCTGAGGGTATCAAAGAAATAACACAGAGGTATAAGTTTTCACAAGAATGTGCATGCCAAGGATAATGTTTTGGTTTTTAAGATTTTTTGGAAACAGACAGGATTACTTTAATATTCTTACCAATGCAATCTAGCACCCAGCCTACTGTGCCGTCCCCTCCACAGCACAGCACGCGGAAATTCTTCACGTCTTTGAAAAACTTCATGCTGCAGAGAGACACACAAAGATATCACATCTGATTCAGTTACAGCATGTCTGCTGTTTTCGTAAATTTCTGTTAAGGCACGAGGAACTCATTTAGGAACAAGGCACCTCTCCTATCCACAAATCATCAAAAACCAAATGGGCCCTGACCGAGCTTGCTCTCTCAAGTTGCTGCTTGGACTTACCCCGGCATGGGTCCCCCTTTGCTGAGGTCATAGACCTGACGAGGGTTCAGGAGATACTGGAATTTACGCATGATGCGTTCTCCCTGCCGACCGCCACTCTTGGGGTTGATAAAAACGACTAAGGGGTGGGAGCCAGGGAGAGGCGTGATCTGTAAGTCAAAAAAAAAAAAAGATCACTCAATTTTGAATTGTGCACAATAAAAACCATTTTTGAGTGGTTATCAGACAAATCAAAGGTCTGGTACCCTACCTGCAGGCCCTGTCCTTCCATGGACATGGAGTCTGTCCTCGTCACCAGCTTTCTTGGTCCTTCTACATCCTCAGATGTGTTGCTGTCTTTAGGGGTTAGGGTACTTCTCCTCTCCTGGAAAAATGGAAGAATAAGTTCATTTCATGTCAAGTGCCATGGCAAAAATGTTCCATATTTTTTTTAAATTTGGTCCATCTTCCTTGGTTCGAACCACATCTGTTTTACCAAGAGGCGTCTTTGTCAGTCCCGACTAACAGTAATTATTTGCGTTTTGCTTGGAATTACACGTGACTCAATTGGACATTTTTTCCCCTGTATCTTTAAATTTCACTGGAAGTATTCTTGACAACATTGCATAATGAGTCCAATGATGAAAGTGAACAAGCTTCGTGGAGATATGCCTCTGGTTTTGGTAAACCAAGATTTTGAAATGCCTGTTGGCCTTTTAGTAATCACTGTGAAGCCTCTTCTTTTCTTTTTTTTAAAGTGGGGGTTTCTTAAATGAACATGAGTGTTATCTGTACCTCATTTGAATAATGAGGTGGAAAATAATACATCTTTTCTTACAGTTTTCTTTTAAAGGTTGGCCATAATTTTTCTGAGTAACAAAATTAAGAAAGTACTCAAGGCAAAGCTATGGTACCACTGTTCCAAGAAAAGCTAAACAGTAGTCCCTGTAAGTGAGCAGTCGACTGGTAGATTTGATGAATCAATTTGTGATCCTGGGTGCATTGGGGGCTCGCATCTTACCTCTATATTGGCCGATGCAGACTTGCCATGGGTGGATTTGCGTACAGAATTTACCCGTCCCTGAAAATGTGGTGGATGGAGATGGAGGAGGGTAGGGAGGCGGTGATAAGAAAGACAGAGGAGAGGGATGCATCATCAAGCAAGAGATTGTGGATCAGAGATGGTGAGGATGACAAGAGGGTAATGGTGGGTTGAGGTAGTGAGAGATGGGTTGAGGATGGTGGAGGGTGAAGAGGGGGGGGGGGAGAGTTGTTGGGGGGGGGGGAGTTGTTGGGGTTGGGGAGAAGGGAGGTTAGTGAGGGGTAAGAGGTTAGACAGACGGGGAACAAAGTAAGGTAAGATTAAATTAAAGAAGGGGTGGGGGAGAATAGAAGTAGGGGAGTATTTTGGGAGGGTAAGATTGAGGGAAGGAATAGTGAAGGCGGGGGGTTCGGACAGGGGAGGGTGAGGCAGATAGATGAATCACGGCAGATATGGAAAGTGGCAGGATGGGTTAAATTAAAATTTGGGTTATGAAGGATTGTTTACAATTGACGGGCACATGAAAGGAGGGGAGGCGACAGAATAATGTCCAAATCGTATGGGCGTACAGCAAACAACACGAGGGGTGGGGGAAGGAGTCCAGATATCGAAAATTTGAAAGTAGGAGAGCGATTTGGGGGTGATTGGTGGGAAGAGAGAAAAGAGGGAAGAGAATAAATGTGACATTCATGAGCATGGCGGAAAAACAAAACTCAAGATGATCTCAGAAATATCCTAGGCTCAGTGAGGATGCAATGTTTTAGATAAAAGTGGCGTGATGTAAGATTGAGTCATGCAAATTAAGAAAGGCCATATCGTGACTGACTCTCAACAGTTTGAAAAAGTCTGTTGTTAGGGGATAAAAGTGTGGAGATGTGTTTGAGCCCAGAAGAGTCTGAAATGGTTGGCGAGGAAATGCATGACATCACAGCCATTTCTCAAGAGTAGGAAAAAGGCGTCAATATTGTTAAGTGCGCAGCGTATAAATGCATATCAAGATGGCTGTAATGGTAAAGACTTTCGTGAGAACAAACAGATGAAGAATTGCTCAAAGTTGCGAGAATGGAGTTTCCAATATTTTTAACTCTGGAATTCCCGAGTAAACCCCCCCCCAAAAAAAACCTTGAATTTTCAGAGACCGACCCAGAGTCACTGATGAAAACTTGTGAAGACAGACTATAAGACAATCAGACTGACTGACAGATATACAGCTCTATTCAAAGAAGACAGGACGCACAAACAGACAGATATTGGCTCTGTATGAAAACATAATCTTTCCCACTGAAGCGTGGGGGGGGGGGGGGGGAACTCTAGCTCAATTTTGGTCCTTGAATTGTTCTGCTTTACGAGCATCAGATACTACCAAATAAGGCCAAAGTTTGGAGTATTTCCACTTGATTCAGATGCTGTAAGCTTCCAAATGATTTTTGGAGCCGGAGACGAAGGAGAAACTGCAGACAAAGCCAACATTTGAAAAAAGGCTCAAGATGGAACCATTGCCACACAACAGCGCCCTCTAGAGATAATGCACAGAGACAATACTGACTAGTCAGTCCACTGGCTGATACACACACCCAACCGCTGTGCACATGTAACCCAGGGTCAGTGACACAGAGACAGACAGACAGATGGGGATAGAGACACTCACCAGTACAGCTGGGCAGATGGCTGTTGGGGGTAGGATATGGTCACGGAACTCTCCCATGTTGCATTCTGGTTTCACTAACGACGCACATTTATTGTGTAACTGCAAAAATAAAATACAAAAAAAACGAAAATATATTCTGTGTTTTTACTAAATCCGGTTCGTTAATGTGACGTCATCTTAACTTAACCATGCGTACTTCAAACGGTGTAGCATAGCACGAATGGAACCGAAAGTTAACGCAACTTGAGTGTTAAGCCAATAGGCACTTGTAATCGGTGGATTACAACGGGATAGCCTATACAAGTTGCTACACTGACATGATAATCTGCACAAAGTTCATGGACTCTGCGTAACTTGAATAACTTGCTGTGAAACTTCCGCAGTCACAGTTGGCGTTGAGTGGAGTAACGCTATTGTGTAAACTTTAGCAAAATTCACCAGAAGATTTGTGTTTTTGCAAATTGGACCGTCTGGCAATGGACATGATGGAGCTAATTTTTGTTCTGCAACCAGGTAGAGTTGCTTAGCATAATACCCTTGTGTGAGATGCAACAGAAGTAATATGAGATAATATATGAGATTCTGATTTCAGAGAAAGTTTTCAATGTAGAAACGTCCTAGATTTGAATGTACTCCAAACCTCAACCTGTTTTTTTCCCCTTTCCTTTACTGTATTTAATCGAGCCCTACTTTCCAATAAAATGAATTTCATCTTTTCTTTCTGATTCACTGTTCTGGAGTCAATAAATCAGAAAAAATAATCCAATGACCATAATTGTCACTGACTCTACTTATTTGCAATAAAAAACAGGAAGTGTAGCAAGGAACTCACCATGATTTTACACCAGCGACAGTGAAGTCCCGTCACCCCGTAACTCTTGATAGACTTCTTGCAGCGGTCGCACTTGCCATGGCAGTTGCCCTCCACCCAGTGATGGTTCATCACCTGCAACAACCACAAAAATCCAAGAAATTAAAAAGCTAGTTCACAATTTTATCAGAACCCGATGTTGGAATATGTACAGGTAGCTATAGACCCCTCGCATCTGACCTCACTTTGATGGCAGGTCTAAGTTCGTCTGCGATAAGCGTGAGTAGACACATTGTACTTTCATCATCACTGCATTTAGATAACGAAACCTGCCTCAGTGAGGGCGCACTATGCAAGGGGTCTATTCATAAAATGGAGAACATCACACTGTTACTGCTCTCTGATGTCAAGGGACAAGGGACATCTACACAAAACATCACAAGTACGTTTTTTTGATTGTCCAACCCATGCACGCTGTGGTCCCTCAATGATGTTATGTGCAAATGATTTGAAAGTGCACTTTCCCTTGAAGGAGAACCTCAATCAATCGATGGGAAAAAAATTGTAAAAAGCACGTTTTGTGCCGATGGCAATTCGTTGTGTACACTGTGCCAGCCCAGCAAGAGGCTTGACCGTTTTTTGGCACCCTAATGAACTGGAGCAAGTTCAATCAAGAACCAGTAGTTGACCTACCTAGTAGCTGTTGATTTGTGATGCACGTTGTGCCTGCATTAAAAAATCAACTGCCAAGGGAATAAATATGTGCTTGGCTGGTTTTAAACAAGTATGTTTAATACCAGCTAGTAGGGGCATGGATAAATACGTTTTGGTCAAAAAGTCAAAACAACTATTTTTTTTTTACAACTTTCCAACAATTTTGTTCAACAATTTTACCTCATGCTATTTGAAACACCTCTCTGGTCATGTCTATAGTATGTGCCTCACGTGCGTAGCGCTAAAGTTCTCCTTTTATGGAGATTGAAGCACACGCGCAGCATACTGCACGATGTGGCGCAGAACGCAGTGGTGCAGGAAATGTTTAACCCCAGCCGGTGTATTATCAGTGGTTTAAAAATACCCACATGACAGGCTCTTGACCAATAGGAATGGGTGAACTGTCTCATGTATTCATGAATAACAAATAAACTGTAGTTTGGCCAAATGTCACTATAAAACTTGTCTGATCTGGTTCCCTGCGGTACACTGCACTAAAGCATGTTGCTATCAGTAACCAGTGAAGAGACCAACCCAGTAGGCGGGGCTGAATATGCATGAAGGCTGATGGGATTGTGGCTCAAAATAGTTCTTGACTGAACTTGCTTCTTGTCACTGTCTGTTGAGTGAGACAGCGCCCTCTATGGTACATGTACGGAGGCCAATGGATATGTGATGAAGCTGTGCAAATATGCTGTCACAGATGCAATTAACGCACTTTGATCGTTAAAACAAAGTGTCAGGTTGTTTTAAGTCTGACAATGGGAGTAAGTTGGAGCTTTGGTCGACAAAATACTGCTCTGGTGCTGAAATCTAGAAAAAAATAATAATTTCACAACATGCAGACAGATTACATGAAAACATTTTAAAAAGAAAAATACCACAGAAGGTACAGAAGAACCTGAGCTGGCGGACAAGATCGAGTTACATCACATACTGACACTAATTGGCAAGAACGTGCAGTTAGTCCAGAATTACGAGCATGCCATAAACCACGTGGAGATATGCCCAGACAAAACTGTCGCATAAATCTGCCAACGTGCCGAACAACTACATGCAGGCATTTGCCTTGGCACGACATCCATGTTGGCCATCATACAATCCAACTGAACTGATACAAAACGAAGTTCACTATGCTTACAACAGCGGGCAATTTTCACTGACTTTCAAAACGATGGTTAAAGTACCAGCAAGTTCTCGAACATATCACACACACAAAACTGAAACAGTCACTTCAAGCAATGAAAAACCCAACTTTCTCAAAGTCATGGTGAGAGATTGATAAGAACCCAAGAAATCTAAAACAGTAAAGGAAAATGATTCCCACATTTGGAAAGAAAAAATAAAATTCCAGTGCAGTGTTTCAGTTGTGAACAGTGTGCTTTTGAAAAAAAAAGTTGCCACGATTTTAAAATGAACTACTATATTTAAAAAAAAAAATTGGATTAATACACCAAGTGCACATTTTTAAATGGAAAAGAAGGTGTTCTGTTTTTGCAGGGTGTCCTCTTTCAAGACAAAGGTTTGAAGATGTGACAAAAATCATCAACAAAACAGCACAAGTAGCCGATATACTATTTCCGTAAACCCTTTCAGTACCCTCCACATGTTTTGGGCACAAGCACAGATCCAAGTGAAGGAACTGAAGGTGCATGGTCCAGCTTGCAACATCCCAAGTATGGAACTGGAAGGGTTTAAAGATGCTCTCCAACAAAATTAAAAAAAAAAATCTCCTAATGTCTATTCAATTTTATGTTTTACTTTAACAAACCCCCAAGAAACTGCTATCTTTAAGTTTGTTTTTCTGCAGAAAAAGAAGAATTGTATTTTTGGTTGCTTTGCACCTGTAATGTACCAAAAAAGTTTTTTTCTGAAATAATGTTGAGCCACAAATAATTTGAAATTTGAAAAGTAACTCTTTTTTTTTTAAATTAAAAAACACATTCAATTTTGTTCGTTCCATTTTTCATTAAAAGCAATAACTTTTATAGCAAAAAATAGTAATTAAAAAAAACCTTCAATTTTTCAGGGCCAAAAAAGCGTGAGAAGAGCACCTTTTTACGAAAAACAAAAAACACAGACATGAAAAAAAAAAAATGATCGGAAGGGGAAACCTACCGGTACCTCCCCCCAAACCTCAGCATCCCGTTTGGAAAGGCATTGTTGTCGTGCAGTTGCAGTCAGTAAGTTTGATAAGAAGGATGGCAATGTTAGTATGCAATGACAAAAAAGGAAATTATCGAAACGTCCAAGTCTACTTGCAGAGAGCAAGGGAGTGTTAAATAAAAAATGATAGAGTTGGTATTCGGCATCACCGGTTTCCAAGGTTGAGATTTACATGCCGCCCCGCCATAAGGGATAAATATTTTACTTCAATGAAAGCTTCAGAGCATCAGGAGACAAAAAATACATACAGGTAGAGACAGAGTTGTTTGTTTTTTAAGTATTTGACGAAGTGGAGCATCCTTCATATCTTGTGAAGGTTCAAATATCTTGTGGTTAAACTTCCACCTGGCTATTACCAGATTTTGGTCAATTTTATCACGTCCTTTGTATGTTTGTTTTTCTCAATTTTTGCTGGATGAGGTATCTTGCAGTTTTTGGATTTTTTGTACATCTGAACCCAATTTTTCCCTTTTTGTTTTGACTCATAAAGAGTCTGACCAAAAACTGTCTCTACTTTCAAATAAACATCTTGTGAATAATTACCGGAGAGAGAAGAGCAAAAAAATGTCGCAAGATATCGGGAGCCAATTTATGTCGATGCCGAAAAATAGGTTCGCAGGAAAGAGTTTCACTTGAGAAAAGCGGGGTACCAGTCAAAGTGCCACATGATGCATACCATTTTTAACTGGTTCCCATCATTTTTATTGGGGGGGGGGGGGGCTAAGTAATATTTTACTGCTCAGCATGTCTGAGCAATTGGACCCAACTTTTCCTTATCTACCAATATTAGAATTTTGGGAATTCACGGTTAATCTTGATGTCACACAGTTGAGCATATATTGTAATTGAACCAATAACAGGCTGTAGGGCTACATGCAATGTCGTATTCGAGTCCACAAGTCCTTGCACAAGTCCTTTCACAAGCCCAGTCATAAGTAACTGGATGAACAATGACAATAGAACGCTTTTGTAACAGTTCATTTGAATAGCTAGTGATTGGACTTGAGACTGAAAGATTTGTGATGGACTTGTGATGGACTTGTGATGGACTTGTGATGGACTTGTGATGGACTTGTGATGGACTTGTGATGGACTTGTGATGGACTTGTGATGGACTTGTGATGGACTTGTGATGGACTTGTGATGGACTTGTGATGGACTTGTGATGGACTTGTGATGGACTTGTGATGGACTTGTGATGGACTTGTGATGGACTTGTAATGGACTTGTAATGGACTTGGGATGGACTTGGGATGGACTTGTGATGGACTTGTGATGGACTTGTGATGGACTTGTGATGGACTTGTGATGGACTTGTGATGGACTTGTAATGGACTTGTGATGGACTTGTGATGGACCTGGGATGGACTTGGGATGGACTTGGGATGGACTTGTGATGGACTTGTGATGGACTTGTGATGGACTTGTGATGGACTTGTAATGGCCTTGTGATGGACTTGTGATGGACTTGTGATGGACTTGTAATGGACTTGTAATGGCCTTGTGATGGACTTGTGATGGACTTGTGATGGACTTGCAGAGACTTGTAGGGACTCGAATACAACACTGCTACATGTTTATCTCGTTTACGGTCACGGCAATTTTAAGATGCTGCAATGAATCTCTAAGAAGAAAGAGTAAAGGAGATTAAATGAAAACCAGTATCTGATGCAAGTCAGGAATAAAAAGGGAAAGCACGCAGATGATGGATAAAGAGGTTTAGAAATTTAAATTGAATTTTAATCTCTGACTACTCACTGCAATGCACTGAAGCACAAGAAAAAAAAGAAAAGAAATTGCATGAAATGAAACTTTAAGACCGCGGAGGAGTATTCATTTTTTTCCCCGCTGAAAACACTGCTCGAGACATTTCTCTAAAATTACACTGTATTAAAAGGAACCGGCACAATAAATTCAATTTGCTTGCTATTTCAAATCAACGTTTTGTTTGTTTGAATTTATAAAATAAAAAAAACATTGAAGAACAAAATGGAAGACTGCTGAAAAAAAATTAAGAAGAAAGTAAAAGTGAGAACAGACCAATTTTGTCAATATAAGTTTGAAGACTTGTGTAATGTCATTAAATTAAAAAAGTATCTGTCCATGAGTATTGCGAGAAAATTAGTTGTGAAGAAGTCAAGATTATATCAGAAAATAAAAAATGATACTGCATTTCTTAAATGATGCTCTGTTGGGCAAAATGAATGCTTACAGCCTCTACGTTTTCATTCTTTTGAGGATTAGATTCTTTGAGTACAGCAAACTGAGGAGGAATAAACTGGAATTTGGAATCTAAATGTTAAGAAATGTAGGCCACATCCAAATAACGTGGCTGCGACTAACAGTAACATAGTCGTCTATGGGAAGTGGATTTAGCCGCTTCCATAGGGGCATGTGTAAATGCAAGCCGCAACCATATTGAATTCGGACGCGGCTGTAGAAGGCCTGGTGATGATAGTACAGGGGTCAGTTTTGTAGAACAATTCTGCCACCAATTTGATACTTACATTTGACGTTCGTTTGGACTTGACATAGGTACTAATGCAGCTGGCAGGCGCTCGCTGTACACAGCGCTCATGCACAGTGTATCTACAAACTGGAGAAATAAAGGCAAATGTTGCAAGTCAACAATAACATCCAAAGTAAAACCGTTAATCTGCAGAGTCCTTACCACTGCAAAAGGAATATTGCAGTTTTCTAGAAACTGATGCAGATTCTCCTCCCCCCCCCCATGATTTGTACTGTGGCAACTCATATTGAGGGCGTAATGGGCTCGGTGTACAAGTACCCCCTCAACGGTTAAAAAGAGAGAGTCGGGGGAGACCACTAGGAGAGACATTTCTAACGCATTGCGGACGACCCATGACACGCACGCGAAGATGCCATTGTTTTGTGCACATTCGGAATGAAAACAATCGCGTGCACTTCACGCCATACGCACGTGACCAGTACACACATGCGATGTGTTACTCCACTGGAGCTTTCAAAAATGTTAAAAAAGCGCCCTCTACTGTCTGTGCACAGAGTTCATCAACCTGAATCATGACGTCACGCTTGGTTTACGCTTGGAAAATCGTCATATCTTGATGTGCACATGATTTGCATTTGGAATACCGCACTGGCATATTAGCATGACATTTTGTTGAGTGATCTATATCTGCTAGGCGAATACTTTCTTCGCTGCTAAGCAAATTACCGCCTATAGCAGCTCCAGGTAACTGCCCCCCCCCCCCCCCCCACCTGTTGACCATACATCCATGACGGCTAGCTGAGAGGACTATCATAAGATGGCATTTTGCGTCAGGGTGATATAAATCAAATTAGGTTTTGCCCTTCACCGACGTTTAAACACTGTATACTCAGTGTGTTACCTCCCGAGTGAAAGTTGGAAAAATCACTCGGGTTGGACTCGAACCCACGACCTCCTTAGCTGAGAGGAATTATTCTTTAATTATAACGGAAGCTAGACGGACTGTTAGTGACTCACATGTGCAGGTCAGGCCTTGCTTGCCGAGGCCCACCAGCATATTGAGGCAGAGGTTGCAGTAGGCTGGTTTGTTGAAATGCTTCAACCGCCACACGTGGTTCCCGTCGTCTTTCACATTCTAGTAGAGAAGATGAGACAGAGGAACAAACAAGAACAAAGTTTTTTTTAAAATCTGATGGGTATACTAAGTAAACAAGCTGCCTGCAGATAAAATAATAAATACATGTACCTCAACTCTAAAAAAAAAAGTGTGAGAAATAGAGTTGTAATGAAGTTAATCGCATGTCAGTCGCAAGACATTCCGTCGTTAATGATCCATGACAAAGGCATTCATTTGTCATTTTTTCATCCCTTGTTACCTTCAACCAGATGTGTTGGTTGACCTGTGATTGGCATGTGATCGGCATGTGATTGGAATGTAATTGGCATGTGATTGCCATGTGATCAACTTGTGATTGGCTTGACTTCAACTCTGGTTATTACACTCACATTAAGTGACTACACAAGACATCAAACTAAAGCCAAGAATTTTTTTTTAATTTCTGTTTTGTTTTGAGTTGAAGACTCGTGAAGTGGTAACTACAGATTATTTTAAAGAATAAACCACTCACAAATATGCAAGCCCTTTGAGTCTGACTCACACAGACTATACCACAAGACTAGAGTCTTTTCATGCGTGTGGTCTACACAATGGGCCCGATTGAGCCCATTCATTGGCATGACGGGGTAATCCTATATGAGAGCACTGCCCAGCTCACAAGTAACAGTCAGTAAGTCAGTCAGTCAGTCAGTCAGCGACCAGCAACATTTTGTAGATGGAATCTTACCGTGTCTAAACCCAGGAGAACAAGCAGAGGTATTGTGGTCATGCCTCCACGAATCCATTCCTCTAGAGACACAGTGCCGTCGGAGTCGTAGTCAATCTCGATCATCATGTCTTGGAGAATCTAAGAGGGAGAGAAAGAGATGGATGAGGCCGGGCGAATGAACACAAAATCAGACATGTAATCGAGTCGGTACTAGTCATACGAGTGGTGTGCATTTACAGGTAGTATAGGAACCAGGTACCCCATTGAAAATAATACATTGTTTTTGTTGAACTCTCATTCGCGTAAAAACATTGAGGGCTGATAATAATGAAAATCTAACAAAATAAGTATATGACTGGTCATTTCTTTAATAATCCATAAAAGTGTTTCACATAGAGTGGGGAATTCTACTTCAATCTTACTGGTCTTAATTCTGTGACGTCCCAGCCGAGGTATTCTGCAACGTGCATCATCTGGTTGACGATACAGTCTAGTTCCTGCCAACATAAACAACAAGTAAATGTCAAGATGAATTTAAATGCAGTAGGTGGTTTGCTCACTTTACTTACCACTATGACAATGGGTCTAAGGCCTTATGGGCTCCGTGCACAAGCACCCCCTCAATGGCAAGAAAGGGAGAGTTGGGGGAGACCATCGGAAGAGGCATTTGAACGCATCGCAGACGACGCCTGACACTCATGTGAAGACGCTATAGCTTTGTGCACATTCAGGATAAATAAGTTGTGCATACTTTGCGTGATATGCGCGTGCGAACTAGTGCACACACAGTGTGTCCTGTACACGGGGCTCTGAAAAGTGGTCAAATAGCGCCCTCTCTTGTTGGCGCCTTTGAAACATTATATAATACATGTACATTGGTTGTAATCCATGTCTGTTCTGGCTTAGCAAGTTGTCATTGATGTTAAGCAAATGTGTTGGGTCTGCAGCTCTGTCCATTGAACTTGATGTAACCTCTTGTCCAACATAAACCATCTCATACACTGAAATCTAACAACTTAGGCCATCAGCCTCAGTCCAAAATTTTGGCCACTGGTATCAAATGAGGGGAATAATCGTCATAGCGATTTTTGGCAAGGTTTTCATCTCCAGAGTTCGAAAAATATGTGATAGCAATGCAACAGTGGCAGCTTTTTGGGTGTTATCACCCTTTTTTCAAGATGTCCATCAAAATGCTTGTTACCACTCTAGGGGCGGTATACCTTGCGCATGCGCACTATAATCATTTATGCCCTGATTTATGCCCAGCAGTGTGGCAGGAAAATGTCTTAATTTTACTGATATATGGTGAATTTATTCCCATTTCTAGCAAATATTTAAATTTCCAATTCATTGATTCGACTTCCCTGTTATTTTATTATACATTGTAAATAAGGTACATTGTAAATCTTTCACATCACTGATGTGTGTCCAATTTGTTTGGTAGATACACGTATATGTAATGGTAAAAATTACATTGTTTTCCTGGCCACTACTTACACTGCTGTCAAGAATTCCATTGTCGTCAGTGTCGTAAAGTCTGAACATAACTGAAGAAAAAAGACATATTAAAAAAATATGAGCAAAACGAAACTGGTTTACTATGTTATAACATCCACTTTTAAGGGCTCACACTGGTATCAATTGTCTTTAATATTCCATTTTTTTTTTTTAAGAAAATTTTATAAATTTTCTTCGTTGTTCAAACCAGGACAAAAGATATCCATTTTTGGTGTTTTTTTATTTTTTTGAATTTCACACAGTCAAATGTGGCTAGGAGGCAACTGACTTACCACTCTTGATCTTAGCCTAAGTGCCCTTTGAAATTATGTCAAAAGAAAATTAGATTTTCCTGCTGGAGGTGACCTTGATTTAAGATAAAATCACTCTGCCCCTTTCAGAGCAGAATTCAAGGCCTTCGCATAACCGACACAGAAAAGCTGATGGAACGTATTAAGAAAGCGTGGGAGTAAATTTAATACTTTGACACATAGGCAGGTTGGCGACACTGAAAAAAAGTTTTGATATAACTGGAATAAATCTCTCCGCGATCCAAGCTGACAGAAAAATTATTTACACATAAATTTACGGGGGCAGGAATATCAGAGCTTAGCCTTTTGTAATCATTGTAGCTGCTAAGACTTTCCTTCCAACGACAACCGACAAAAAAAAGGGGGAAGAAAAAAAATTATATTAATTGGCGGAGTGCAAGTCTGTCAGCTGCCAAAGGACGACGATAAAATGTAATTAAGTCTGATGAGGCTTCAGGGGAAGCATCTGAGGAATCTCTACAAACACATGTTCAATCACGTTACCGCAACCTTGTGTGCGCAGCTCTCTGGGCCAGAAATTGACGGCTTAATCGGGATTTATGGCGTGGCGCATTGACAAGGTGGGGAGAGCAGAGCGCGCGGGTCATGCGGTCTGCCGATTGTAAACACTGACATGGCCATGGGAGGGTTGGAACATGAAATGTTGTTGTAGGAAATGGGAGAGTTAGATTACAATTTGTGCTTAAAAACAAAAAAAAGGACAGATTTTTACAGATAAATTGAAGCCGGGCCAACCTTTTTCTTTCTGGAGAAAATAGAAAGCAGTGGTAGACAACTATTCAAGCTAGGTTCATTTCATGAGAAATGCACTACAGCATTCCCATGGACTTGCTGGATTAAAAAAAATTGTTCAATTGAGGTAAACTTTCCTGCTCAAGGACATACTATAGTGGGATCATACAATAGTTAACTTAGAGATTAAGTCAGAAAATGACATTGTTACATGGGCAATTCTATCTTTATGGATGTTACATTTAGAGCTACAAACACATTTAAAACAAGATAAATGTCCACATATAACCACTTCCAATCTCACTGGCGCACCTCTCAAATAAAAGGCCTTGTCGTCCTCTTTCATTTGATACCACATTTGAGGTTGTGATGCTTGCAGTTCTGAAAATTTCATAAATGATCAACTTTTCAGCCAAGGAATTGCCCACATGTAGATTTCAGACAGTTTTCTGGCTGTGTGCCCACAATTAGGGCCATTTTTCTTCTAACAGTCTACGGAGCTTATATTGCTAACCTTAGATCACTTGTGTTTTAACACCCCCCCCCCACAAGAAAAAGAAAACAGGCAATGTCTTTCTGAGAATTTCCTATTAAGACAATTTCCAACTTGAGAGGCAGCTCGGAGGCACTTAAGGCTTGCCTGGAAAGATGGGAACAAGGTCTATCAAAACAGGGCAAGACTGCACATAAAGCATGATTTAGAGCCAATATATGTCACCATTCCTCTCCAACTCTGTCTGGTTTTTCTTGGAAGGGTCCTATTTGTTTGTTTTCTACCTACTGATTGAACGTCTTAGTGACACTGCAGAGTGCATCTTAGGGAATGTATAAAGGTGGAGTATGTGTGAACTTCCAACATCTCAGGCTGCTGGACATATAGAAATACATCTCCACAACAAACATTTACCATAAAGCGTGACGTGGCATGTAAAAATGAGGCACTTTCGGACAAGAAGTCAATTTTTAGTAATTGCAATAATAGTAAAACACAGACCTTGCTCTTTCAAAGGCCGCTTTGCTTTTTGAAATTGGAAATTCCAAAGCAAAGTTATTAAATTGTGAAATTTGAAATGTCAGGCTAGTTTTGTGTCATTTCAGAACAAAATCTTGTACAAAGTGTCATTTTGTGAAATGACATGCCTCTCTACTACAAGTGTTTAAAAACAAAAATATCTTGTCGATATAATTTCAGTTTGAAACTTTTACGGAACATTTTAAACATAAGTAGCATCACAAATTTTTTTAAATCTCAAAATCACTGAAAATCATCCCCCATTTGCAGCGTTTCTCAATTCGCAGCTCTGCCCAAACTCTGCCTGGTTTGGACATACCACGTCACATATTTTTTCGAACAAAAACTGACATGCTCATTCAATTATGTTTTTTTACTACAGGTGAATGCCAAGTTAGTGAAATAATTGATACTTTGCATGTGACAGCTCAAATTGGACTGTGCTAGTTCATATTGCAGCTGTTCAGTATTTTTCATTTTTTTTTCATTTTTTTCCTCCCCACTCAAGACCCGAACATCTTGACACGCCATATGTCACCAAATCATGAACAACCAGATATAACTAGCATTTTCTAGCATTATAACTAGATATTATTATTTTCCAGATATTACTACCATTTTCAGTTATCTAAAAGGAACTTGCCCACTTTTCATCCAAACTTTACAAACGCCCTTCAAATGCCCAAAAAACAAAAAACAAGCAAATGAGAGAGAAAAAAAAAAAAGAGAAAAAAAAACAGGAAAAAGGAAACATCTTCCTTTTCAAATCTTCAGCTGCAGGCAGAAGCTTGAGAATTCTGGCACCTGTCATTTGGCGGAAGCCAGTCCAGTGATGGAAGCCGTCCGTGATTACATAATTAGCACCCTCGCGATTTCTGGGCTCAGGATTGATAGCGGGGGAAAAGCAGGTGCAGTTCTCAGGGCATTCTGTCACTTGCTGCTGAGAACAAAACTGGAATTTTTTTTTTTTTATTTTAAACCAACAAACAAGTAAAGGTAAATGAGGTTCGGTCTGCAAAATAGTCGACTCACATTCTAGCTTGTCCTCCGGCTTGCCTCCTTCCAGTAGCGACAAGTAACAGACGATGTCCTTCATATAGACCACCTGGTCCTCCACGTCTGGGTAGCTGGTCCCACCGCCCATCCCGCCGCCCATCTGGGGTCCCCCGTCCTCCTGTCCAGAGCTCTTGGTCCGCATCCGTTTTTTCCTCTTCTTGCGGAGAGAGAGGAAGAAACGACCCCGTTTGTTCAGCTCCTTGTCTGGAGTGAGAGGGGAGGGGAGGGGTGGGGGAAGAGGGGTTAGGATCAGGTCAGATTAAGAATTGGGTGGGTAATAGACCCCTAGCACAAAGCGCCCTCATTGAGTACAGGGCCCAATTTCTTGCTTAGCATAATTTTTTTTGCTTACCAAAAGTCAGCTGGTAACCGGTCCCAAGAAGCTTACATTGCATGCCATATTGGCTGGTAATCTATTTTTGCTAAGCGAATACATATCTGTGCTTAGCCACTCAATGAAATTGGTCCCTGGTTCTTGTTCCCTGTGATACGCTAGTCTTGGTGCAAAACGCTCTTAGCAGGGTAGTTCATGATAGAGGGTACCGGGCAGTTCCCACTCACGAACCCGACTCGGTCAACGAACCGCACGCAAAGAATGTCTTGGGAACTTGACATTGCAGTAGGGCGTGATTTAATATGCAGAACACCGGCGCATGCATGCATTTTTCTTTGTTATTTTGTGTTTTTCCTTTCTATATTAATTGATATGCTAGCGATATCGGTGCGATAATCGGTGGTGCAACGGCATGAAGAAAGCCGAATGCCTGTTAGTATCATTTTTTTCTCAGACAAAACTTATAAAAAAAATGCGGAAATCAGGGTATGTGCGGAAAGTTTCATACCTTATCTCAATCATTTTGACTTGCAAGAAGGGTTAATAGAGAATGGTTTTGACTAGCATGCCTCTGCTTTTGACTAGCACTAAGGTCGAACCCTGATTCAGCCCCACCCAAAACTGCCCCACCCAAAAGCCGTGAATAATATCTGCACAAAACATCTGACATGCGTGCACTTGCATTATGACACGCGCAGCTGGAATATACATGTACAGTGTGACAATGGAGAGGTGCACGCACTGATTGCCGATGTGAGCAGTGGGTGTGGCTTAATGGATGGGTCTATACTGAGACAACAAAGTACTGGTACTCAACACTCAGAAACAAACTCGGTAACTGAACGCCAACAAACAAAATCGTGCCTTTCTTTTTCCTGCCGTTGGACGTCACTGTTGTTTCGCTCTTGGGGCTCTCCGCCTGGGCCTGCAAGGCATGGGTTGTGGAATGACTCGAAGGGGTGCCGTTGGAGGCGTTGGACTTCTTGGAGGAGCTGCGGGATTGGGCAGGGCTTGCATTGTCTGCCGCTCCTGAAAACATTGGGGGGAAAAACTGTTGAGTTGAGATGAAAACTTGAATTATCAGACAGTGGGCTTGGCAAGTCAGTTAAGACTTAATGCCAAACAAACGTGGACGCAACATTGTGACGTCACAGAAAAAATATTCGCAATGATGGAATTCACGTCAACATTGATAAATGTAAAATTCCCTTGTTACTCAAGAACTAGCCTTTCATCTTTCAGGAACCAGAAACCCAATATTCATCAAGCTAAATGACACCAGGAAATAAATAAAAAGAAAACATGAAACGTCTTTTGGAGTATAAATTCTAACAAATCTAGTGACTGCAACTAACAAATTATAATTCTAACCATAGCAAATATACTGCAACTTATTTTAAATTTCAAACAGTGATCACTCGCAAATCATTCAATACTCTATAGCATTTCAAATCAAAATAAGGGAATAAATATAGGCTTGGGTGGTTTTAAACAAGTACTTTTAGGCTGACCAGGCCCCTAACCGATTTTAAACGTACTTATTTAATACCAGCCAAGCGCATATTTATTCCCATTCATAAATACCTTTCAGTCAAAAAGTCAAAACAAGTGAAATATTCACATTTTCCCAACCATTTTGTCAAACAGTATTACCTCATTTTTGTGAAACACCCCTCTTGCCATGTCTATGGTATGTGCCTCATGCGCGTAGTGCTAAACATCTCCTTTTATGGAGATTGGTGCGCGCGATGTGGCGCAGAACCCAGCGGTGCAGGAATAAAGTGTTTAAAACCAGTTGGTGTTTTATCAACCATTTAAAACCACCCACGTGATGGGCTCTCGACCAATAGGAATGGGTAAACTGTTTTAGGTATTTATGAATTACAAATAAAAACGTATTCCTACAGCTAAAATTGAGGAAAATAAAATACGCTAGTGATTACTAAGAATAACACCAGCACCGACACAAACATAAAAGAAACAGCCCAACGACATGCCCATAACCAACTAAAATTGAACAGAATTACATCCCAATGCATAGCCACTTTATGCAGTTTCACATTTACATGCAACGTTATTGGAAACACTAACCACAGCCTCAAATGAAAACGGAAATCATGCAACATTTTTTTTTCAAATTTTTTGGTTGTGATAACCACATGCTATCAGCAAAAAATGTTAACAGATTTTGTTTTAAAATAAAAACAATACAAAAAGCATAAAATCACTTCAATAAGATTTGAAACTTTGCATTGTGGCAATGTAAACTAGTGGCAGTGTAAACATGTGGACGAATGTCTTTTGAGAAGATGTGTGTTTCTGAAAAGAACCAGTTGGTTGTGAAACTCTACTTTCCGATCAGTATGCTCTCCTCGTCTCTCTGATCTGAAAACATAAGAGCATACTGATCGTAAGGTCGAGTTTCACAACCGTTATTTTCAGAACTGCACATCTTCTCAAAAGAGATTCTTCCACATGATGTTACCGCAGCCCTCACTAGTTTATAAAATCACTTAGCATACCAACAACTTATCGATTGCCAGTCATCTTTGAAATTTGCGCTTTTGTTCAAAAGGGTACGCATTCGCTGTTTATATAAAACATAACAAAACACACGTCGGAGCTGGCTGTTTATGCAATTGATAATACTCTACGGTATCTTTGCATTAAACAATGGCGTATTATTTGTAAATGTTGTTCCTTTATAAAAAAATATCAACCGCGCTTGCGAACAAAGCCAGGTTTCCAAACCTCTGAGATGCATCCATTATTATGATCTGAAGCGCGGAGGCACTGTCTTCGCTTGAGTCCAAGTTTGTCAAAAAATTGGATACGAGAAACAAGAAGGCCCAAACATGCAGAGCAAATGTAGAAATGTGGAAAAATTTAGCAGAATGCTGACAGGAATAACGATTTTGCTGATGAATGTGCACTTGTGTACATACAATAGACAGCTCTGTCTATGAAAACATTTTATGTTTTGCTGTTAAAGTCTTTTTTGTTAAAATGTATTTACTTTTGACGAACTCTGGAAAATACTGGATATTCATTTGATGGATTTTCCTGATGGGATGGATAAGATTTAACGGTACAATACCGGTATATCATTTGCTTTTGCTGTAATTTTCAGAAATGAATGGATTTGTGGGTTAGTATGTTATAACAAATATTGCTGTAAACGGGCAATACTCAATATTTGCTTCTTTTCTTTTTATGCCAAATTAAGTCTGATGAAATGCAAACAGATAGAAACCATGATGTATCAGTATCACCACCCTTAATTATGACAGGGGGGGGGGGGGGAATCAGGAATGAGTTATCCCGATGCTAAGCAGTCCAGATTGGCTGTGTTCCATCGCTGGACTTGATTACAAAATGGACAGGGACTAATTGATAAGGGATTAGGCACTCTGCCGTCATTAACGACTAACTGTCAGGGCATTAGCCATTAAGGAATGGAAAAGCACTGCTGAAATGTCAGCCGAGTCAATCTGGTCCTACGGATTTATATATTTACGCAGCGTAAATTGCATTAATCTGCACAATATTGTTCTGTTCATGTGGATTTGAGTATCCCCCACCCCAACAAAAAACCCTCTCCCCCCTATAAAAATGAGATAATCAGACAAAAGTAAAATACCATGTACCAACATTTTCTGATGGAAAAACACTACACGAATGTTAGAAATTTTCATGATAGACCTTTATCATGCTGCTACCATTACAGTCATGTTCCCTGTATCCAATAACAGTGCTGAATGATAATGTTTTTGTGCAAAAAGGAACCAGACTATTTTTCCTTCCAGCCTTGCTTTGGTTACGTTGCTTTAAATGGGAAAAAAATCAAGGTGTAGCAACCAAAGTACTATACCATTAGCAACCTAAGTACTATATCCACGGCGCGGTATTTGTTACAAAGAGAGTGCGCCACAGAGTTGGGTTCAAACATTTCGTGAAGGGGTAGTTTGGAAGAGAGAAATACAGCTTCCACCAATTTTGTATTGAAATTGAAGTTTATTTGAACTGTGTTCAGATTTAAATAATTTAAAATATTAAAACCAAGCAGAATCTGTGGGTGAAGTGTTATAAAATAAATATTGAATGCTTTATCTCGTGGTGAAGTAAAACTAGCCTCCAGAGGTGATCCATGGAGCATTCTCTTTTCTATAAAATAGAATGTCCATGGATCACCTCGGGAGGCTAATTTCACTACACCACTCGAAGCATTCAATATTTGTATATTACCAATTACAAAAAAAACAGAGCCTTAGCTCTGGAACCCCGTTTCGGACACGACTCAAGTTTCAGAATATGGATTTGGTCTCTTTTGTTTATGTGCCTTTCTTTATATTTGCTCTATTTTCTGTGTAAGACAACGGATGAGAGATAGAATCCACTGCTGTGGTGTATCACTGGAAACGTTTTACCGGTACGTCCTACAAACCAATCTGGGCACGCTGTCACTTCTATCACGGTGGCCCCATTCAATGGCAAAAGCATTGTGCTAGCTATTGTTCAGATAATCCACCACGGGGCAGATGCTTTGTACAATACAGTGGGCACAATGGTTTCTCCATTGAAGAGGGCCTGGTGAGTGTATGTGATCACGTGGATTACAAATACTTGCACAAAATTCATGGCTCCATTAAAAAAAATTTGATGAAACTTATCATCCTATACAGCAACACTTCCACCGACGAGCTTGATGGCCTTAAAGTTTCTCGGGTCGCAACGGGAGCTTGAGAACGGTATTTCAATTTGCGGTGGCGTCGCGACACATTAAGTTCCTCTCTTTCCCCTACACCCCCGCTCTCAGCCTCCTTAATGTCTGGTCGGGAATTATCTTCATCTTTTAGAGTCTTAATGACTATGTGGGCCGATGCTTACACGGCATGCACTTAGAATAATACCCAGATTAGTCAATTAGCCAGCCATATTAAGCTTGTGTTGATGGTTTTTTTCTTGTAACAGCCACACATTAGTTTTACAGGCACCCTTTAAGGAAAAAAAGAAAGGCATCGACTGGAAGGATAAAAAAAAAAATTAAAAATTAAATTGCTAATTGGGAGTGGAATGTCTTGAAAAGTCTTTACAATGCACGAACTAAGATTACTCAAATCTCCAATATGGATTTTTTTTTTCAACGGATGAATACTAAATATCTCAGTTCTTCGGCAAAATAATAAATCAATGAATAATTCACAAACTGCTCGCATGTTTAGATTTATTAACAAGTTGATGAAATACATGGAAAGTAAAATTTACCCTTGAAAGGATTTCACAAACTTCTATGTATCCCTACTTTGTGACTTAAGTACCGAGATTTACGTCTTTCAAAATTTCTTCAGCAAATTTGTAATTTCTTCATTTGCAATTTTACTTGAATATACATGTATGCCTTACAGCAGGATATGAATTGATGGTGTACAAGTTGCGACAATTTACATTCCCGGAAAATGTAATTTGCAAAGCTTTCTTTTTGACATAATTCTGTGCTTGCGGCAAATGACGCTGAGCTTCCATTACATATGTTAACTGAGACGTCATTGTAGAAGACACAGATTATGCACATGCCGTCGTTAACGCGTCCAACTGCGTTTCAGAGCAAAGACGTAGAGGTCGACGAATTCCCTGCGGTCGTAAACGGAGGTGGGAATTTCATAAGTAACCCAAGTCAAAAACTGATTATGATGTTGTCTCTCCACTTGCCAATGCAAAACAAGCAAGAAAATAAATAGGGGAGAGAAAGAGGAAAAAAACAGGAACTCGCAAGAAGAAGCTCAGCCAAAACCGTGTGTCACGGTACAGCGGCTGCGCAACCGGTTTTCGACCGCAGACCCCCGTGGGAAATCTGGCCTGATGATAAAAAGGCAACCAGGCAGAAGGAGTAGACCAAAGCGACCTTCTAACCTACATGCACATCGGCTGGCTGAACCACTTTTAGGCACAAAAACCCAAAGCCCTCGTTTGGCCATCAATCTCAAGTCTGGTGAACCGCCTGGACGTACGCCAACTCACGATCGAGTCTT